AGAGGCCAATTTTCAACACTGTGCATTTCCTATGCTTCAAAAGCTGTGTAAAGTAGATAGAGGCAAAAGGTGACACATTCTAAGAGCTTATTTGATGTGCAGCACACATACAAGGGAAGGTTTCAACCACCTCTCAGCTAACCATTGCTGAATTTCAGTGTTCCAAGGAAACCTGGGTAATGACATGTAAATGCTTCAGACAAGACGACAGTTCTAACCTTGTTGTTTGGCTGTACTACAGTAGCATGCTGAAGAGCTTTATATAGAGTGAATGTAAGCAGTGCTGGGGATCATTTTATAAAACACTGATGTGTGTGATAACTTGACCCTGGAAAATTTGGGACAATTGTGCCAAACTGCGCAAAAATTCCATTAAAAAAATGGCAGATTTTTTTTTTCAACTCTGTTTTAACCTAATGTTTGCAAGCACGTTTATAGCTCTCTCTTTCCCATATAAACATGATTAAGTTGCTATGAGTGCTCATTTAAATGTTGTTACCCAGAATCCCACTGAGTGAAGACATGCTGTATGTGGTAGTGTGATAAAGCCTATTGACAAGCTGGGAGCTACAGAAAGTTATTTTGGGCTGCATACAAGGTATTCATTTAGAGAGGGCTTAGATTCACTGATACATGTATCTATTTTGTAAATGATGTGCAAAGAAGAACATTTACAGTCACCATTGCTCTCTGATCATTTAGCTGTCATTAAATGGGGAATGTCCATATGTTTTGAAATAGTTTACCACCATAATGCCATTAAATGTTAGCACATTGTCAACCCATGCATGCACCACTTACATGCATTAGTCCAAAAGGAGTCTAAAGGAGGCATAAACATGGGTACTTAACACTCAGCGACTCACAATCCAAATTTATGCACAATAAAAAGGTTCAGTGTCAAACCAACAGAGCTACAGCACAATAGCTTAGAATATGGCTCTTCCTGTAAAAGAAGGGTATTTTGGGGGCATCCATAACACTGCATACATGACATTGCAGATTATAAAATTTCAGTGTTCTCGAGCATTGATTACTGCTTTTGAATGTTAAAAATATAACAAGTATATTCACTAGAAAGAAAATTACAGAAAATGTAAATGAGGTGTTTTGTTTTTCCATTCTGCAGAACAGACATTTGGGGTATTAATTGTCATTTTGTTTAGAAAATAATATTGTTAATTATTTTGTAGCCATGTCAATCTAGTCTTTAGTCTCTGGCTGTCCTCCCTATACATCTTGCAGAATTGCTATTCCCCGTCTATCTCCAAACCTATTCCATCAAAACTATCATTTATTTATCCCTGTTAATGCTGGTGACTGTGGTCATCACAATGTACACTTAAAGGACCACTATAGTGCCAGGAAAACAATCTCGTTTTCCTGGCACTATAGGGTCTTTAGGTCCCCCCCACCCTCAGGGTCCAACTCCCGCTGGGCTGAAGGGGTTAAAACCCCTTCAGCCACTTACCTTTCTCCAGCGCCAGGCTCCCTCGGCGCTAGGGAACACTCCTCCTTCTGCCGATGTAGGCGCCGAATGCGCATGCGCATTCAAACTGCCCATAGAAAAGCATGTCTCAATGCTTTCCTAAAGACGTCCAGCGTCTTCTCACTGTGATTGTCACAGTCAGAAGCGCCTCTAGTGGCTGTCAGTGAGACAGCCAGTAGAGGCTGGATTAACCCTCAGTGAAACATAGCAGTTTCTCAGAAACTTCTATGTTTTCAGCTGCAGTGTTAACACTAGAGGGACCTGGCACCCAGACCACTTCATTGAGCTGAAGCGGTCTGGGTGCCTATAGTGGTCCTTTAAATAGTCACCTTCTCACTACAGTGTTTTGGTTTTTTTTCTCTATAATAAACACAGTCTTTGTCCAACATTATAAATTGTACTGTGAGTAGTGGCATAACCCAACCTTCTCCAAGAAGAAAAAAAACTCAAAATATTGAAGTGATGAATCAGACAGGTCCAATGATGTTTAAATCTAGAGATTGGGAAACCACATAAATTGCTTGATCATGTTGGTATTCATTACTTCATACTAGTTTATATAGCAGTGCAATAGAACATTATGAATTCTGATTACAACATGATGGCTGCCAATACCATTGCAGATCTCCACCTTGTTTAACATGTTTTACAATAGACAATATAGTTATTTAGCCTAAAGGGGGGAAAGTACTTTTTTTCAGGTATTCACTCCAGGTTACATGACATTTGACACTGACTTTGGATAGAAACACTTTCCTAGCTCCTTTTAATTCCAGATTTGTAAAACTTACAATGTAAAGATTGTCTTGGTATTGGGTCACAGAGATGATGCTGATTAAATCCTGCATTAATTTGTGAAGCTGTACTTAAAGAGGACACTATAGTCACCAGAACAGCTACAATTTAATGCAGGCATTTTAGCGTCTACAGCTTGTCCCTACAGGCTTTTTAATGTACATGCTGCTTTTTCAAAGAAAAGGCAATGCTCACATTATTGCCTAGAAACATCTATAGTGGAAGTCACTCAGATGACCACGAGAGATGCTCTAGAGACGTTCAGCATCTGCATGGAGACACTAAATGCTCCCCATAAAGATGCATTGATTCAATGCATCTATATGAGAAGATGCTGATTAGTGCAGTGCATTTTTGTGTGCATGCGAAATAGAATCCCAATGCTTTACTACCAGCCACAACCGGATCCGCATGTTACTGGAATAAAGGTGAGTTTAAAGTATTTTACCTTTCTAACAGGTGGCCAAGGGACCCAAACTTTGTTTTTAAAGCCACAGTGTAAGGAATACACAATTCTATTCCTAACACTATTTTTCACCACTTGACATTTCCTGATGGAGTTTGTCCCTGTGTGGAGTATACTATCCTTAATTTTGCATGTTACACATATACATTAAATATTTCCGTGTGGCTTTATATAACTGCCATTGCAACACCAAATACTGGCCATTTTGGAACTCTGTTAGTTGTTTCATGTAACTGAAATAATTACCTATCAAATAAGAATTAATGTACAGCTACACTTGTTATTGTGATGTAATATTTTGTTGCAATCTCTTTTTTCTGTATTGTTTCCATTATTTTTCACTTGCCCATTTTTTACATGACATTTAAGAACTGGCTGTTCTTTTGCTGCCTAATATATCCCACCCATTGACAGGTTCCATTGTAATTATATAATTAATGTTATTCACTTCAACTGGCAGTGGTTTTGATCTTGTGGCTGATCAGTGATTTGAAGTATTACTAAAACAGTTACTTTTTAAACTGTCCAGCATAATGTATATTAAAGTCTCTAGTTATCCTATGTCATGACTTATTTATCTGATTGTAGTGTTTTTTTTTAAATCTGATTTCATATTAGACTATACTTATTTCAAGCACATTTCTGTATTTTCTGTTTTCATTGGATACAAAACATCCATTAAGCTTCAATTATCTATTTACTGATTTAACACAGTGCTAAGGTCTGTAAATTCTGCTTAGTATATTCTCATTTTACAGATCAATGTGCTTTTATTAAGGTGCATTGTTAAAGTCATTATTAGGCCTATTATTATTTTTTTTTAAATCGGTACTGTAACTGTTGGTCCTATTGACCAATAATCGTAATCGTGGTACTGCCACTTTCTAATGACAATACAGAATAGACAAAGAGGCTGTAAAGAAATAGAACTCACTCAAATTATAAATATGGTGTTAGATTTTGGTTTAAGATAATTCTATGCAATCAGGGGATGGTAAAATCCGATAGTTACATCTTAGTTTGTGTCTTTCAATATCTGGCTTGGATAGAAACCCTTGTGTGCCTATTATTGTTTATCTCCAAAGAGCAATTTGCTCTCCAAAGACCCTACAGGAATGTAATCAAACATACCCCATAAAAGTATATTACATAAAAACAATTACATTTTCTTCACCATCCATAGTAATTGCCTGGTAAAATGGAGATTTCTATGCTAGACGATTATTGTACAGTGAGTATGTTTTAAGACCTCAATTACACATGTGATAAATTACTGCACTGAAAGCAATACATTTCACCATTCGATCCCTGAATCCTAAATCTAGTTCCCCACGGTCATGACATGGAAAACAACATTTTCTGCTTTGTAAATTCATTGTCGTCTCTTCCTCCTCATTAAAACAAGCATAATGAACCTACAGGCTAAAGACAGTGATGTATGGATTTTATGTCTATTCATCATGCCATTCTGTTTTATGACCACAGCTCAGAATCAATAAGTTGAACTCAATTTATCTTCTAAATGGGCTAATCGCTCACATACTCAGTAAGTTCAAGAAAGCCTTGTGACTTTTCAACTATTAGATACCTATACAGTACTGATAGTGTTTGAGACAGATAGCCACATGGCATGTTAATTTTCTGTATGCTGTTATTTTTATAGATTTTTTTTGACATATTTTGTGTTACAAATGTTGGCATGTTAAATCATATGTGTATTACTCAAATATATATTATTAAATATATATTTATTATTATTATTATTATTTATATATTTCCATTTATAATAAGAATGGGTCAAGGATCTCAAACTGAAACTCATCCCCGCAGATGTTGATGGTCTACAGCTCACAGAATTTTTTTAATGCAATAGACAGCAGAGAATCATAGGAGTTGTAGTAAAGCAACATCTGGGGAGCCAAAGTTTGAGATGACTGGACAAGATTGAAAATGACAACTGGATGAAAGAACAGAAAAATGTTATGTCAATTTATATGTTAGTGGGAACGATGGGTAAACGGGTGGAAGAACTGAAGACAGATGAGTTGTCAGAGAAGGGCCGATAAATAGTTCAAGAAGTTGTGAACTGGGGTAAATAATGGGGAGTTAGAGTGTTATAATATAAACATTGCTATGTGATTATCACTGCCATGCTCATGAAACTTGGAGAAACATTAGGATTATTATTATGCATTGTGTATAGGAACAGGCACTCTAATAGCTTCAGACACGTTTATTGGAACATGTGGAAAACTGCAACATTTCGACCCAAGAATGGGTCTTTGTCAAGCTTCACAAGAACCCATTCTTGAGTCGAAATGTTGCAGTGTTCCTCATGTTCCAATAAACATATCTGAAAGCTATAGGAGTACCTGGACCTCTTATCTGTTATTTTAGGCTTGTACTAGCCCTTGGTCTAGTTTAGCACCCTTGGCTTATGTGGATTGAGTGATGTTCCTATTGGTATATTGCATATAGGAACAGGTGTTTTTATCGTATTCTAGATAATGTTTATTTAAACCTGTTCAGGACTTCTAAAAGTATAAATTAGCATACATAAATCAACATACATTCCCCCCAAAATTGTATAGGTTTTCATTACTATTCAACCCAGTGCTATTAAATGAAATCATTATATGTTACTATGAATCATCCGCTTTCCTTGGCACAATAACATAAAGCAGGAGACTTAACTTCCACTAAGCTGTGAAAAACTAGAATTCATTATTTTTAAATAATAAGCATTAGTAATACATCAACCTTGATACAAATCATCGACAAGTTGTCGAATTGCTTGAAAACACTGGGAGAAATAAAACAAACGGCAATGTAAAATTCCTTTTAGAAGAGAGTGTACAACTGATGCTGATTAGTGCAGTGTAAAATTCCTTTTAGAAGAGAGTGTACAACTGATGTAAAGACTTTTGAAACAATATTGTTTGCTGCTTAAAGCAGTGGATTCTTGCTGGGAAAATCTCTTGTAATGTGTGTACAAGATAACCTTTGATAGCCTACCAATTCAATATAGTTTCAAACAGAGTTTTAAGTTTTTCCAACCTACTTAAGGCACACCAAACATTTCACTGTTTATGTTTGATATGATGAACGGCAAAATTTGTACTTTTGCTAGTTAACATTAATTGAGATTATTAATTTTGAAGTTCATGAATGTGTTCACATGGGTTGCCATATAAAAACACAATTGTAAATAAATCAGTCTCTTGAAACAAGGCTGCAATTTATGGAGCAGCCCACATCTTAAATTCCCTTGGCATTTGATCCAGTTATGACATTGATAAATTGCTGCAAAAGCTTTAGGATACTGAAATGTTATGATAGCATTCTAGGTTATGATAGCAAGGTAGCCATATGCTATAACAATAAGGTAATCTTTTATGCATGCATCATTGTCAGTTTCCACATTGTATTTTATATCCATATGTGAAGGGTATTCTAAATTGTCTCTTTGCCATTTACTATAGTTTTCATACAGTGTAATAAATCCACATTTATTTGGGTAGCATTGGTTGTCTTGCCTGGTTATTTGATCTATCACATATTTAGATAATATTTTTAAAACTGCATTAGACCTTGCCAAAAGATGTTTGGAAGACCATTCCATTAACAGAATTTTGCATGATTGAACGATCAGGTAGACATAGAAGAAGACTTGAAAGTGGAATAAATAAAGCAGCGCTGAAATAAGAAGAAATTGTCTAGTGCTGCTAAAAATCACCAAGTGTAATGTCACTCTTTACACTTAAAGAAACACGTGATTGATATATAGGCAGATATAGGCAAAAAGACAGTTTTAAGAAAGAACCTGTATTATATATATTTTAAGGTAAACATATTTATTTATGTACGCTAGTCACTTTATTCTGTACATAGAAGAAGACTTGATAATATATTGCTTTTAACCCCTTCATGGCACATGAATGCCAGAAATGACAAGATGTCATAAGCGGTGCTTAAGTCTTTGTCATAATGGCAGTTAAATTGTTCAAACCTACTGCATATTTTTGCAGAATTTGAAAATCATGTTATATAAATGTGACTAATGTGACCCTGCAGAACACATGGGTTTCTATTGTGATCCTTGTAAAGATCCAGTATGCGTTATAACAAATTAGTCACATATACTTAAAGGGAATGGTTCATGCCTGTAACTTCTATGTAGACATTGTGCTAGCAGTTTTCTTTCTAGCATATGTATAGATTGGGAGAAAAACCTATTTAAAAAAGTTTTTCTAAGAGTGCCCCTTTAAGAAATACCTGTTAATGTATATTTACATGCAATACAGCACTGAATATATATATATATATATATATATATATATATATATATGTATATATATATATAAAAGCATGATGTGAACATATATATAATTATTTGTATTACATATGTGTGTAGATAAGAAATGTAGGTATATAAAAATACCTCAAGGGCAACATCTTTGCATGGTAAGTATGTAACACATCATAACCACATTTTCAATGAAATTATATATTAATGAAAAGGTAAGAGACATCATTGCAAAACTAGATTATTTGTCATGAATTTGTAATGTAATGTGTTATGTATTAATGTGATAGAACAATCATTCCATCAATTTTCTAGTTTCTCACAGGTGAAGTGCACAGGCAATAGTCAAAGTTTTTTTTTAGTGTGGTGTTTACTGTGATATTACTGTGGTGTTGCCATTGTAATTAACTCAAAAGCGAAAATAAATATTTCCCTTATAAACATACCAGGATCCTTAACATGCAATGCTTGCATGTAAATCTGACATTAAAATGGAACCATAATAGCTTTTTGTCTAATGGTACACTTAACAATAAGATCACGAAAAGCTAAACATTATATCTATCAATACACAAAACTGTGTACAAATTAATATACAAATTACACATATAGTTACCATTCTCTCTCAAGGCAGCTACCATGTCTTAAAATGTCTGTTATATTTGTTCTGTACCAAGGATGCATAAAATGGCTTCCTAGCTCACGCTTATAACACAGTGCACTTGCTTATTTGCAGTTATATTATACACATGTAGTGTTCAATATATATGTGAGACTGACACGCAACACGTGTGCTGCTGACTAAGTACTGCACAGTGCTAGAAACATCGACCCACTATCTGTTCATCTCTGTGTAGTCCCATAATATATTTTTGAACACAGGTTTAGGACACTGTGCTGTAATTCTGACTATTATGGTTTGAGCCCTTGTAACATTCCTTCCTTAGTCTTACTTTGTATAATGTATAATTCGTGTGTCACTTCTTACCAAAGTAGGTAATTTTGGAAAATTCCCCAATTCAGCTGCTTCACCAGCTTGGCTATTTTAGACTATAATTGGAAATTCCCTAGTTGATTTTCCACCATTCACATTATATTTAACAAAACCCAGTGGAATATAACTCTTTTGTCTTGAATCTCTAAAATCTGAACACAATGTAAATTATACAGTGAGGGGAAAAAGTATTTGATCCCCTGCTGATTTTGAACGTTTGCCCACTGACATAGAAATCATCAGTCTATAATTTTAATGGTAGGTGTATTTTAACAGTAAGAAAAAAATTAACAAAAAATAAAAATCCAGAAAAACACATCTCAAAAAACTTGTACATTGATTTGCATGTCAATGAGTGAAATAAGTATTTGACCCCCTATCAATCAGCAAGATTTCTGACTCCCAGGTGTCTTTTATACAGGTAATGAGCTGAGGTTAGGAGCACTCTCTTAAAGGGAGTGCTCCTAATCTCAGCTCGTTACCTGTATAAAAGACACCTGTCTACAGAAGCAGTCAATCAGATTCCAAACTCTCCACCATGGCCAAGACCAAAGAGCTGTTTAAGGATGTCAGGGACAAAATTGTAGACCTACACAAGGCTGGAATAGCCTACAAAACCATTGCTAAACAGCTTGGTGAGAAGGTCACAACAGTTGGTGCGATTATTCGCAAATGGAAGAAACACAAAATAACTGTCAGTCTCCCTCAGTCTGGTGCTCCATGCAAGATCTCACCTCGTGGAGTTTCTATGATCATGAGAATGGTGAGGAATCAGCCCAGAACTACATGGGAGAATCTTGTTAATGATCTCAAAGCAGCTGGGACCATAGTCACCAAGAAAACAATTGGTAACACAGTATGCCATGATGGACTGAAATCCTGCAGCGCACGCATGTACAGGCCTGTCTGAAGTTTGCCAATGAACATCTGAATGATTCAGAGGAGAACTGGGTGAAAGTGTTGTTGTCAAATGAGACCAAAATCAAGCTCTTTGGCATCAACTCAATTCGTCGTGTTTGGAGGAGGAATGCTGTCTATGACCCCAAGAAAACCATCCCCACCGTCAAACATGATTTTTTGCTAAGGGGACAGGACAACTGCACTGCATCAAAGGGACAATGGATGGGGCCATGTACCATCAAAACTTTGGTGAGAACCTCCTTCCCTCAGCCAGGGCATTGAAAATGGGCTGTGGGTTGGACAATGACCCAAAACACATAGCCAAGGCAACAAAGGAGTGGCTCAAGAAGAAGCACATTAAGGTCCTGGAGTGGCCTAGCCAGTCCCCAGACCTTAATCCCATAGGAAATCTGTGGAGGGAGCTGAAGGTTCGAGTTGCCAAACGTCAGCCTCGAAACCTTAATGACTTGGAGATGATTGCTAACAAGGGTTTTTCCACCAAGTACTAAGTCGAAGGGGTCAAATACTTATTTCATTCATTGACATGCAAATCAATTTATAACTTTTTTTTAAATAAATTCTTTGTTTATGTTAATTTTTCAAATTTTAGCTAGCAAGGAAGGGTATTACACAATAAAGAAGAAACGTGAAAGATTTACAGTCGGGCTATAACATGGTGCAACAATAAGCATTTATACATTCAGTAATATATTCTGCAACAAAGGAGGATGTACTTCAGCCATGTTGACAACGTGGTGATACTCATATATCCTGTATGGTGGCGGAGAAACCTCCTGTTTTGTGAGATGTGAGGAAAACACATGGGTAACAGCCATAAGGATTGTTGCAGCGTCATTGCAAGTCTAGGAAGGTGTTTGATTTGTGTGTTTAAGCGTTTTGTATCTGGGCGCGGTATTAAATCTTTAAGATTAGAGAGAGTTGTTAATGCTCTGTAGCTAGTGGTAGAGTGGGTTGTACCCTCAATGGTTAGTGAAGTGACCAGAGGGTGCCTGCCCCTTTCATTGGGTTTGAGAGGGAGGGAAAGAAAGCAAGACCGCTAGAAAAGAAATAAAATATAAGTTGGAAGGGAGGGGAGAGGAGGAGAAGAGAGGGAGGGGAAAAAAAGGGAA